TTGCAGCTCAAAGGCCAAATACTTTTATCAGTCCTGACTACGGGCAGTGCGATTTCCCGAAACATTCATCTGAGTAAACTCTTTTGACTGTATGAGAATTGTTGAAGACACGACGTCTTAATGGTTTTGTTTGTTTGGTATAATTGTTTTGAACTTCAGCGTCCTGTTTTTGCCCTAGACTTCAACTCACTTCACTGCTGCTGTTAACTCATACTGCTTCTCATTTTATAGTGATGATCGAATACTTTCAAGTTGATCTTAGGTAACATATGTTTATGGGCATTTATCCACGGTGACCTTTCGTGAATAATTTGAATTCCATTTTGTCATAGTTAAAATAATGTTATATCTCTGTCGATTGGTTTTGTTTATTGTTCATTCTGTGTTATAGTTTCCCTGAAAGATTTGCCTCTGCTTAAACCGTTCAAAAGTAGTATGCTGATCGATCAGCAGTCTTTGAGTCGTCATACTATGCCATCGGAAATGGCCGAAAAATACCGAACCTGCGACGAACCTCCAGAGTTAGATAAACTGAATCCGTACAGGTATTATAAAGCATCAGCGATTGTGTCTACTCTTGATTTTAGAAATGATTCCAAGCGTGCTCTGAAATTTTACACTGATCCAGATTACTTTTTTGAACTATGGCGGTGCGAAATGCTAAAGGTTTCAGAAACGCCGAAGAGACCGAAATCTGTGAGTATAACATGTTTGAGACAAGTTTTTGCATCTTCTAGCAAAAACCATAGGTCATAGACCGTAGGTCGATGGCTTGTTATAAGTAAGTTCTGTTTGTTAGCTATGTATGGGACTCTGATGCTCGTGTTGGAATACCAATCGAAGGCTAGATTCGTACCAAAGCAAAACTCCATCAAGCCATTTTTTGCGGAATTATAACACTGGTACCTGCCTTGAAATATTAAGGGAGCCGTTTAAGTATGCTACGAACAAATCAACGAAGTGGCCCCTTAGGCATCTACTCGCAAGGCAACGATGGTATACGTCGCGTTTTGAAATCCGGTTTGACGAAATTGCACGGTCGTTCATATATTCTGGCATACAAAACCATATTCTTTAATGTTTTGGGAATGCTTCTAAGAAAACTGACTCCTGTCAGAAAACAACCTCAGTCTCGTATGAGAAACAAACCAGCAGAAAAACACACGCATAAAAAAATCGGTTCAGGTGTTATGTGAGATAAACGAGATGTTACTCTAAGGAATAAAGTGATGTCGGTTGCGTATCTACACTGCAGAGATTATACTAACATACCCCCGTGATCTTTTAAAGGGTTCACTTGAGATCTGCATGTTTCGTGATATCATAACTTTAAGCCGTTTGCGTAGGCTTCGTATCTGTTTAATGGTATCTTTCAGCACTTTTGCTGTAAGGCACCAGTTATTGCAACACTGGGAAATATTAATCTCTTCCTTGTTCGCAGATCTTCCTTGTTGTCCATGTTGTATGCTGGTCTCCTGGTCAACGTATGCCTTGTTTCGGCTTCCACACGAGAAGCTCGCGGATTGAGTAGCTATAGTGGTGTTTCTCAACCAGTTTGTATAACAGGGCGAACTTCCTATCCTTAAGACCGGCTTTCGCAGATGGAAGCCATCAGGTGACCACTGGCTCCCTGAACTGCTCGCCGAGATAATATCTGCGCAATCCATCTCAGCAAGATATATAGCCGCATATCTTGAATTGCGCTTTTCCTCTAGAATGAGATATTCGTCTTTGTCAGGGCCAGCACTGTTTCGAAGAAGAAAGTCAAGAACATTGTTGATAGCAAAGTTGAAAGCACATTTCCCTGGCGAACTTCGAACCTGAAAAGGAACCACAGGTAGCTTTCCTCCAGCTTTGATAGTAGATATGATTACTACATTTGCAAAAATGAAGCGATGTGCTGAGATATCCCATTGCATTTAAGGTTTTTCGCAAATGAAGTGAATCAAATGTAGCCTTAAGATCGGCGAAACTGACACACCAAGGCAACCGTATCGTTCGCATTGCTCAATGAT